GGGGGGGGGTTCTTTTTTTCTCTCTCGCTGAGAGAGCCGCTTTTCAAGATTGTGCAGGAAATATTTATCGCTTTTTTTCTCCCCCTCTTTCTTTTCTTCGGCGCTTACACGACCTATTCGTATTGCAAGTGCCGTAAAACTCTTACTAAAAATTAAAACTAAACGAAAGTAGTAAAAATGCACCCAAAACTGAACTTCTCAGTGGAATGTCTTTCCTTCACTATTTTGTCGACCGGTGTCTATTGTACAGGGGTTATCTAGGCGCTTAGCCGTCACACGCACAAGACCCGAGTCGTTTTCTGTGTGGGGAGTATTTATACTGTCTTTTTGCTGGAATTTGGTCTCGTGATGGTCGTACTAGGCAGGGGCGACGCCTGTCTCCCAAATAGTCTAAATTGTGTCGACGGGGGTGTAAAAGCACTCACATAAATATAAAAAATCTATTTTGCAGATTTCGACGTTTTTCAGAGCTTGTTCTCTTTCGGCTTCGTTGGTTGTTGATGGGCTCTCTGGTTTGGTCTTCTTCTATGCTTCCCCTTCGAAATATAACCCGGTACTGTCTTGCTGCCATGCCTCGCACTGTAGCTCAACAACGACGTAACTGCTTTTTGATGCTTTTAGAATAAATCTTTCGTTGGTATGTCATCGTTCCTGACCTCGTTTGAAACGCCAGCCGTTTCCCCGACTGAGATGCCCGTGAGTCGAGACATATGATACCGCCCAGGGATTCCTGTCAAGATTAATCGGACTGTCATGTGACCTCCTCGGGAAAGAAAAACACCGCTGTCATCGATTCTTGTACTGTATTTTCTTCTTCACTTCTACGTTGGAATACCTTTTATTTTTCCTTATTTGTTTGTTTCGGTGGCTGGCGGGTGGTGGAAAAGGGGGGGAGGACGTTGCTAGTGAGTCTTACTTATTGTCAGCCCGTATGTGTCTTTCTGTTTATCTGTCTGTCTCGCGTTTTTATGTTGATTTACTTCTTTTCTGTTCAGCAATAAATTTTTGTTGCATGATATACCGAGTTCCGGCACAATTCTAATTAAAATGAAACACCCTGCAATGTTTGACTTCGTTTCTCGGATTGGGTGCTCTGGTGCAGGACTTTACTTCTCTTTTAGGGTTTGTCACCTGCGTCTGTCCTGTAGTGGTTAGGCCCTTTGCTGTTGCACGCGGAGGATGTGATTTCGATTCCCGAGTGAGGAGGCCGTTTTAGTCGAGTATCGCCATTTGTCTGGCGGAGTCGTGTATCCCTCTCAGTCTGGGTTGGTCCTTACAGGTAAAGTCGAAGCAGCTGGCCTCTTAAATGATCCTTTGTCGATGGGAGCGTTGACTATTGGCAGTAATATTCGAGATGTTGTTTTTCTTGTCCCTCTCCGATCATGACGAGGGGCAGTTTCTCTCGTGATGACGCTTTACTGTAAAGTGTAAAGTGTACTTCACCACACTCTTGGGCTTCTGTAGCTTTTTCCAAAGTATGGTCAGAAATGACGTGTCTGCTCAGCGTGATGTGTACTTCTACATAACCCCATCATTCATTTTCTTTGAGTGGGTGGTTGGCGGGTGCTCTGGTGTGGTTTGCTCCTTCTTTCATATCAAACATATATATCGTCCTTATTTCTCCTCCTTCTTTTTGTGCTAGTTACTCTCTTGTAACTCACCTAATTTTCGGCACTTATACAACCTTATTGTGTTGCAAGTGTCGTAAAACCCTTACTAAAACTAAAAAGTTTCTTTGGATTTGTATAGTGGATGGTGGGAGAAGGGGGCGCTTGTGGGTTCTACTTTTTCCTTCTCATGTTGTGGTCGTCTTTCTTGCATTTTCGTAACACTAAATCACCGTTATTTTGTCGGTGTGATTCTCTTCACCCAGAAAGAGCAGACAAGCAAACCAAACAAAATTAAACTGTTTTGGCGAACGTAAAATTGCTTCAGCGGATTTCAGGGCCTTGGTTTCTCTTGGTATTTTCCCAGCTGTTATGTTTCTCCGATTTACGTGCCCCTTGTTGATTGTCCACTGTCGTGAAAGCCATCTCAGTGTTTGTCCTGCGTCATCAGTTTTAAAAATGTTGACCTAGTTTGTTTGTTTTTTGTACCTCCTGTTTTAAGGGATTGGGGGGGGGTTGTCAACATTAGAAGGAAATCTTCATTTTGTTCTTTGCCAGTATCTGGGAGTCATAATTGAGAGTCCGGTGTATCCTCCTTTGTCAACTACTGTGAGTCTGAAACTTCTGAGGGAGTGCCGTTGAATCTGTTGATATCGTGTCGGACTCCAGTGCAGATTTCCCGGATTCGAATTCCCAACCACCGTCACGACATGGCGAGCTTATGGTGCTATCTTGTTCCAACTCCATTGATCCAGTTTTTGATAAAAATCACCTTGAAGACAATGGTGAATGCCAGTCGCGAAATCAGAATCTATTACAAAATGAAACAAATTTTACGAAACACGGGCTTAAACCGTAATTTTTGGGGGCACAATGGGAGAATCGTTCAACAGTCTTGACAGCTGTGACAAAAATTCCCAAAAGTCGATAAAACCTCCACCAAAACCAACCCCCCTCCCCCCCCCCTAAAGTCGGAAATTGGGCCAAGTGTACTGTAAGATAGCGCACAACTCGCAATTTATCTACCTCACCTCAAGTTTTTGTGTTTGAGTAAAGTTAACAGAAGCACATCGACACCCTTAACGGTTATATGGCACAGAGAAAAACAAGACAGATAGACAGAAACAGCGGAAGAAAGGACAAGAAAAAGACCTCTCAGTGGCTCCAACCACCCGCTTCAAGCTCGTTCAACTTTAAAAGCTATTTTACGTTCATCAAAATAGTTTAACTTTGTTTGCTTGTCTGTGTGAAGAGAATCACAACGACACAATTACGGTTGGAAGAGTTGTTCTCTTTGTGTGACATTGGTCAGAGTGACCATATTATCGTTTGATTTGATTCACGTGTGCCGTGCGATTAGCAGTTACAGTCAGAGCAGAGAAACAAACAAAATTGAACTATTTTGATGAGCGTAAAATTGCTTCAGATGTTGAACAAGAAGACATAGAAAGAGATAATGTCTTCTTGTGATTGTTTCCGAGCGTGGGGGAGGAACCAGCAGTTCGTGAGGCCGACCTCCGCCGAGTCGTGGCTCGCATTATGGTGTCTCTGTCTTTATGGTGACCTCCTTGTGCCTGTCAACTGTCAGGTCGTTTACCCGAGCGCTAAATCCACCAGGGAAGCTTGTCATTGTGAAATGTGATAATGTTTCTATCTCTGTGTCATTGTTATAGGTTTAACGCCGGTGGGTGGTTGGCGGGTGCTCCTGTGGGGTTTGCTCCTTCTTTCATATCGAGCATATTTTGTCCTTATCTCTACTCTACTCCTTTTTCTTTTTGCTGTATTTGTTACCCTCTTGTAACACTTCTAATCTTCGACACTTGTATAACCTAGTTGTTCTGCAAGAGCCGTGAGGCTCTCACTAAATCTAAAACACTAAACCTATTATGAGTTGGGACCTCTGAATTTAACGTCCATTGGCTCTAGGACCGAGACAAATTATAGTTGGAGTGCCCTAAAAGTCCCCCAAACAACCCAAGGTCAGGACGCCCCGTATAATATCAACTGAGCTAACGATGCACTCTGTTTCTATTTTATTTAACCCTGCAGGATGCTACTCTACGCTTTAGGGAAACTAATTGAAAAGCACTGATAGTGGTCTGATAGCCTGCTGGGTTCCAAAGGGGCGTTACGCTCTCGTGCTTTGAAAATAATGCACCCAGTCGGGCTATGTGTTCCTGCCAGTGATAGCCACTTCAAACTGGTGTCGTTTTTCGTGAGGATGTAGGCTTACGTGTATGGCATCGAGTGATGTTGGGTTGTTGTCGGGGTTTTTTGTTGTTGGTTTTTTTTGTGTGTTTTCTTTTTCTTTTTTTCTTTTTCTTTCTTTTTTTTTTTGGGGGGGGGTGAAGTAACGAGATGCACATCGACACAAAAGCGGACATAATTTGATGCAAGGAAAAACCAAGACAGGTCGAAACAATAGAAGCATAGAGAAGACGGCTCCCTCTACCCACGTTGCCGAGTATTGTGTTGATTTCCAAGATACTTCTGTCGTTTTGTGCTTGGATGTCATATATCCTACCAGTACGTAAAAAACGTATTTAGTATGTTTTTGAGGGTCTGAGGACGAAAACATGCTTTTGTAACCGAAAATGCGTTTTCTCTGTTTTCTAGTTTTGCTCCTCGCGGACTTGCCGGTGCTGTGAATTATGAACTTTCAGAACAGGATTGTGAATGATAATGTTGAAAACAAAGCCCATACGTCAATTGGAGAGACCTTTACTAAACATTTCTCGGCACTTATATGACCTTATTGGGTTGCAAGTGCCGTAAAACGCTTACTGAAACTAAAACATTTCTGACATTATTGTTGCAAGTGCAAGTTTGAATTTGTTGCATGTTGAAAAGTGTATTTGAAGTTGAAGGGTTTGGAGTGGGGCTACTTGTCCAATGCCCACCATATGGACCTGACGCGTTGGGACAGTCTGTTTTCTTTTGGTTTTGAAAAGTTAGCAGCGATGGTGGTATACCTAATAGTGTGTCGTTGACTGCCTATCAAGTTACCTCTTTGTGGTTAGATGTAGAATAATAATATGCTGTATCGAGTAGTGCGTTTGGATCCCTGCATACTCGCCGCTCTACCCGTTGGCTTTTTTGTGCTTGGACCATCCATTATGTTGTAGGATCAGGAGCCTGTGTGAGTAGAGGTGACGCGTGGTTCAGACGTTTGATAGGTATAATTAGATTCCTGTTATATTACCGGCGTGGTGGTGGTTGTGGGAGTGTGTCAGTGTGCCCTGTGAGCCGCGAGGAGGGCGGTTGGGAGTGAGACACAGACAGAGACAAACGATCCTTCCATCCATCCAATATCCCTCCATCCATCGCTTTCAGTGGTGGTTGTTGTGGTTGTGGTGGTGTGTTCTTTCAGCTGTCATGTCGTCGACCTCCTATACCGTGTCGTCGCCCGCTGCTGCCGCCGACACGAAGGATGGGAAAGCTACACACGGTGAGTGAGCGAGTCAGTGACTAAGTGAGAGTGAGTGACTGGGGGCGCCTGCTGTCAGCGCTCTGCGGTGGTAAAGGTTCTGTGTGTGTGTGTCACTTGTTTGTTTGTGCTCGGTCAGTTGTGGTACTGGTAAACTGTCGTCTGGATGGTGGTACAGCTCGGCGCTTGTTGGCGATGTATTCCTGTACCTACCTTCCCCCGCTCCTCTCACTCTCTCTCTCTCTCTCTCTCTCTCTCT